CTTCAGGCGGTCATATCTATCTTTCAAATTATTCCATAGTATGACTGGATCTTCAACAGTAAGATATTCCATTTTCAGGCCCTCATCAAGGTGATGGCGTAGGAATATCATTGCTTTGGCACGGTCTTGGTTTGATGCTTGATTTTTATCCTTGATGGTATCTGCCAGACCCATCGCATCAAGATGAGTTTCAGCATCAAGCACCCAAGACATGTAGCTTTTGCCCGATATATCCAGGGCTACAAATTCAAGTTTTAGAGAGATTTGACATTATTTAGAAAAAGAAAGTTCGTACCTCTAATACTTTCAAAGTATTTGCTCGAGATGGCAGAGTCTCGTGCTGATAACGTGTTATAAAATAACGACTGTAAAGTAAATAAACTGAAGACAAGTATAGAGAGAAACTGATATATTATTCAACTTTCAAACTCATGCACATAATAAACTGAAATCTCCTATATTTATAGAAGAAAGGCAGCTGCTGTGTAAGCTGCTACTACAAGCTGATGTGTAAGCTGCTACTACAAGTTGCTGTGTAAGTTGCTACTGTACCAGATATAGATAATCTTCAACTGGGGGTAATGTTTATCCATAACGGGGTATCGAAAGGATAAGCTTATTGTACACGGTATGGATAATCTTCTACCGGGGGTAATGCTTATCCATAACGGAGCATGGAAAGGATAAGCTTATTATGATAGGTATGGATAATCTTCTACCGGGGGTAATGTTTATCCATAACGGAGTATCGAAAGGATAAGCTTATTGTACCCGATATGAATAATCTTTTACCGGGGGTAATGTTTATCCATAATGGAGTATCGAAAGGATAAGCTTATTGTACCCGGTATGGATAATCTTCTATCGTTGGTAATGTTTATCCATAACCGAGTACCGAAGTGATAAGCTTCTTCAGGAGTCTTATTTCCAATAGAGTACTAATAGATAAACATATTTACGGCGGAGTCCCATATGGATAAACTTCTTCGGGGAGCTTATTTACAATGGAGTACTAAATCAACATTATAATATAATATATTTATAACAAAAACAACCCACTGTGAACTTTGAAATAGTCTATTTCCTTTATTTATTTTTATTTCGTCGCCTAATTGGGATCCTTTTATTGGCGCGAAGACGAACGTCTTTTACTTTAACCCTTTTTTAAAAGATACTTCAGAAACACTAACCTCATAAATTGGTGATAAATTTCATTAATTTTTGAAAATATTAATCTATTTATGATAAAAATTTGCTTAAGATTTTAAGCTAACATGACAAGCATTCAGCAGTTGGAGCAGTTTGATATATATGGTTCCAAGTGATGAATATTGTCTTGGCTGAAAAAATGTTTTTAAGTCATCAACTCATGATAGTCTATAGGACTGCCTTGCCATCTACTATTCCACCTCTCAAAGCAAAGTAAACTAGAAGTGGTTACAAACATTAAGCTTGAATTTTAGCTTTGTTTTTCGGAGTAATGAAATTTTTTGGGAAACAAAATAAATATATCTAAAGGGGGTCGTTTCTTGAAAGTGATAGTATAATGATTAGTTTGAAAGATCTTTCAAAGTTGTTCTTTTCTATTGAACGATTGATATTTATTTTCACTCTTTCTTTCTCCCTCTTAGTCTCCACATTTATGATTATCGATGACTCACTTGACTACTATTTCACTTGACCAAAAGATGTGTGATACCTCTACCTGGTTCAGACTAATAGCCTGTTTGGTCACGCTTTAAAAATCAGCGTATTTTGAAAAGTACAATAATAACAACAACAAAAAACTCAGTTTCATCTCAGTAGGTGGGGCCTAGAGAGGGTAGTCTGTACGCAGACCTTACCCCTACCTAATACAGGTAGAGAAGCTGTTTCCTATAGATTCTCGGCTGAGGAAGGGCAAGAAGAAGAAAAGGAAAGCAAGGAAGGAAGAAAGATGAAAGATCAAAGAAAAAGGGAGAGATAAAGGATAAGTGGTACCAAATAATAGCAACAGAGAATACAATACCTGAGGCGAACAAAACCACATAACGTAATAAAAATCTAAGAATATGAAAGGACAAACATGCTACTAAGACTATGGGTGAACAACTATAAACTACCTACTAACCTTCTACGTTAATCCTCGGCCTCCACACCCTCCTATCAAGGGTCATGTCCTCAGTGAGCTGAAGCAACGCCATGTCCTGCCTAATCACCTCTCCCCAATACTTCTTAGGCCTACCTCGACCTCTTCTCAAACTCTCCATGGCCAACCTCTCACACCTCCTAACAGGAGCATCAATGCTTCTTCTCTTAGCATGTCTGAACCATCTCAGCTTCGGCTCCCGCATCTTGTCCTCCACGGAGGCTACTCCCACTCTGTCCCGGATAGCTTCATTCTTAATCCTATCTCTCCTAGTACACCCACACATCCATCTCAACATCCTCATCTCTGCTACTCTCATCTTCTGCACGTGGGAGTTCTTGATTGGCCAACACTCAGCCCCATACAGCATACGATAAAACTTACCCTTAAGTCTTAGCGGCATATTCCTATCACAAAAACACCGGAAGCGAGCCTCCACTTCATCCATCCTGCTCCAATGCGATGCGCGACATCTTCGTCAATCTCCCCGTTACCCTGGATAATAGACCCGAGATACTTAAAACTCGCTCTCTTGGGGATAACTTGAGCATCAAGCTTAACCTCTACGTCTGCATCATGGGTCCCGTCACTGAACTTGCACTCCAAGTATTCTGTCTTGGTTCTACTCAGTTTGAAACCTTTAGACTCCAAGGTCTGTCTCCAAACCTCCAACCTCGCGTATTTTGAGAAGTGTTTTTTTAAAAGTGCTTTTCTTCAAAGTACATTTAGTGAAACACGATTTGTGTTTGGCTAATTAGTTTGAGAAGCAATTAGCGTTTGACTAAGCTTTTAAAAAGTGCTTCTAAGTGTATTTTTTTTAAAAGTATTTTTCAAAAAAGTGTTTTTGGGGAGAAGCTACAATTTTCTGCTTCTCCAAAACTGCTTCTGCTTCTTCTCAAAAGCACATTTTTTTTCTTCTAAAATTTTGGCCGAACACTTCAATTTTGACAAAAAAGCATTTTTTTTTTTTTGCCAAACAGGCTATAAAGATCTCATTTCTGAACCACCAGTGGGAGGTTCTAATTGTAGTAGAGTTTTGAAAAAAGAGAGTAGTAAGTATCTAGTCGTGCAGAGCATAATGAATGATTCTTAATTTTGCTTATCTACCAATTCGGCTGGCCTTAAACAACCTGCTTTTAACTCATGATATTGGTATTCTTTAATTCACTTACTGAGTTATACTACTCTATTTGTTTGACTATCCTGCTTGCTTAATATGGCTTGCTGTCAGCCTGTCAAAGGGCTCTTTTCAACTAACAGTAAACCACTCTTCAAAAGTTTCAACCTAATCAAAATATAGCATCTTAGGAAAAAGATAAACATAAAAAAGAATATTGTATAAAGCATCTCGCGTTCACGTAAAGTCCAAAGAAAGGCCATCCTAAGGGGTAATAATATAGATAGTCTAACTTAATTTGCATAAAGAATCTCGTGGTCACACAGGGTCCAAAGAAGGACCGCACCCCAAGGGGTAATGATATAGATAGTCTAACTTAATACAAGCATTTGTGGCTGTTTTCAAAACTCGAACATGTAACTATAGGTCTCGCAGAGAAAACTTCACTGTTACTCAAGGCTCACCTTCGAAAAGATAAACATAATTGACAGAAAAGTAATCTTGAGATCAATATGAAGCCCTTTTATAATCAAGACAAAATTAATTAAAGGGAAGAAACCACAGTAGACAACCATGAAATAAGGTTGCTATGTCTGTATGTTGCCTTAACCTATGACTCTCTTTGAAAAGTTAAGTAAACAATACTGATATAACTACATTTTTAAGGGTCGTTTGGTACGAGGGACAAGGGATAATTAATCTTAGGATTAAATACGAGATAAGTTTATCCCACGTTTGATTGGGATAAAATTACAGTATAACTAATCCCGGGATTGTAGTGTTATTTTTATACTATAGGAGGGTGCAATAACAATCCCGAAATAACTATCAGGATAATTAATCCTGAGATAACTTATTTCTCCACTAAACGATCCCTAAATTATGTGAAAATAGCACGTGCTATCCAGTTTTCGGACTGGTAACTAAAAATAGCAAGCATTTGCAAAATCATTGAAAAATAGTCACTATTTTGCTACAACACGAAAAGTCCAGCATAATATACTGGAGATTGGTGCACCTGTATATGAACTTATAGCATATTATGCTGGAACTCCAGCACACAGAAAGTTCCAGCATAATATACTAGAGATTGGAGCACCTGTGTATGAACTTCCAGCATATTATGCTAGACCAGTATATTATGCTGGAACTCCAGTATATTATGCTAGAAGTTCACATGTAAAAATTGAACTCCAGTATATTATGTTGGAATATTTTCCGGATTTTGAACAGTATTTTCGTTCAGATTTATCTTTACATGAAAAGTGGCTAAATTTCGATTACTTTTGAAACTGTGGCTATTTTCAATTACCACTTGTAATCTGGTTATTTTTGAATTTCACCCCGAAATAATTTTGGGTAAGTCATCATGATGGTCACATGAGATAAAATAGTACTCTTTTGTTTCAATTTAGATGACACAATTTCCTTACTAGTCCGTAGCAAAAAGAATGACACGTTTCTACAATTGAAAATAATTTAACTTTAAACTCTTCATTTTAATCCATTTTACTCTTAACGAGAAGTTTTTATAACCACAGAAATGTCTTGACTCCATAAAGCTTTTACCTATTAAACTTTTAAGACCACAAGTTTCAAAATCATTCTTTTTTTTCTCACGCTCCGTGCCGAGTTAAACTAACTCGTCTAAATTGAAACGAAAGGTGTACCCAACTTCTGCAAATATCCAGAACACAGATTCTTTCCTTATGTTGAATGACTAAAAAGAATCAAAAAATCATGAAAAAACTTGAGTTAATAACAAACTGTGATGTATTTCATTAAAGTTATGAGAATAACTGAAACACACAAAAATCATTTCTTACTCTTCTTATTATCTTTCCCATTGCAAAACAGAGACCCCAATCCAAATGGAACATTCAGAATTGGACTAATCCGAATAGCATTACCATAATTCTTTCTCAATGGTGGCTTTTGAGATGTGTAAAAACTAGCTGCTGCTGATGCTGATGATGATGATGAATTCTTCATTTGTTTCCATTGCGCACTACTCTGTTTCTGTACTGATTGCTTTGAATTAGGAACTGAACCAGTAGAATTGCTGCGAGATAATAAAGGTAATGACCAAAATGAGCTTTTCTTATGTGTATTAACACAATGAACACTACTGCTTCTCTTAATACCCCAAAAGGAATTAGAATTAGAATTACACAGATTCTTTTGTTGCTGTTCTGGTTTGATTTCTTGCTTTGAAATTTCATTTTCTGCTGAGGAAACTGAAAGGGGTGGAATAGAATTAACTAAAGTTTGAGTCTTTGATAAAGGAAACTGTTTTGAAGAAGTGACAAACTTTTCTTGAAGTTGAAGAGGACGAATTAAGCCATCTGAAAACAGCTCATCTGCTGAAGAAGTTTCTGTATCTGTGCTATTGCTAATACAGAAATCGAATTCAGAATTAAAATCACTACTGGCAGTAGTAGTAGCAGCAACATCTTTGTGGTGAAGATTATGAGAAAAAGAGATTCTTGGACTTGTGGTTAAGCTTGGAGCTTCAGAGATCATATCAATGGCCATATTATTATTTTTTTGGTTCAGTTATTGAAAGGACAGGGAAGAAAAAAATATAACGCGGTGGGATAGTTATGGTAAGAGGACAAGATTCAAATGTGATGTGGGAACACTGCAATATTGAAGAAAAGAGGAAAAAATTCAGAGAATGGTTTCAGAAGTCAAAATGAGAGAGGCTAAATAGTCGACAAAGGCTGGTGGCTTTTGTGTCAAAAACAAATACTACCACGGACTTTAAAGTATAAAGATCAATGGCAAGTCTAAGATGAGACTTGAGAGTGTTAAAAGTGCAAAGTTTTAACCGGTAAAAACTTACCCGTACCGAGTGTTTACAGCAAACCAATGGATATATGACATGTGTTTTGCATATGAACTTCAATCATTTAACCATGGTACATTACATACATTCTCATCTAATTAAATTAGTTAACCATAGTGAATTAATATAGTTTGGTGTAAACGCAAAAAATCTTTTTACTTTTTAGGAAGAAATCAATCAACTTTATATCATGGTGATATCCTCGAAAAAAGACAATCCACACCAAGTATTCTGCGTTCACGCAAAGTTTGAGGAAAGGTTTCATCCAAAGGGTGTAATTTAGAGTGCAAATGACACTAGGTAGTCACTTTTAAGCACGTTATTTAAACTATATCCACAGTTTACAATGTATTTAAAGAATAGCCAATTTCGCTCAAATTTCATGACACGATATCCTAGAGTTTAAACCCCAAAGTTCAAACTTTAGGACATCGTGTCCTAAAGTTCGAAAATTATGCCCAGAAGTTCAAATCTTATGTCCTGAATTTTAAATTAGTAGTTCAGAAATTTAGGTCATTTCAAATTAGCAGCTCCAAAATTCAGGATACTTAGTCCTGTAATTTGGGCTAATTGGCTAGTTTTTAAATATATTATAAATTGTGAATATATTTTAAATAGCGGGCTTAAAAGTGGCTATTATTGCACTTCGTCTTAGTTTAGACAGTCTACCTTAATATAGCTATTAGTTGTTGTTTCCACAACTCGAACCCGCAACTTATAGTATGTGTTATCCTCTATCCCATAAAATACCAGACAATATTTAGCAGGAAATACTTTTATACACAGAATATTCTTTTTATATTATCCATATATATTTTAACCCATGATAGTAAATTAAGTATTATTTTTATCAAGTTATCAAGAGTCATATTTATCATGTAATTACCTTATGAATAACTTACTTGTATGAATGTTATTTTTACACCAATTGTGAATAGAATTTAGACTCTTTAGCAAGAATATTGAACACATGGCTATGTCCAATAATATCAAATTATAATGGAGTATTAATCTATCACAGAGTGAAAACTCTAGAGTAATAAATAACTAAAAGCCATGAATGATTTACCTACACTTTGAAGCTAACATACAGGACTTTGATCATTTACTAGCATACATGAGATATTATACTGTTCATATACTAGCATACATGTTATATTATTTTCTTGCTTTTGTCTCTACACGTTTTGAGTCATGGGCCAAAAGGACAATAAGTAAATTGCGACATGCCAAATAAAGGTTTATTACCACTCGATTACGATAGCTAATATGTTGGTTTCTATCTTGAAGCACAAGCAATTTTTTATCCAGTCAATAGGGATGTTGTTGAATAATAATGTTTCTTTACACTTAAATAAAGTATCTTTTTTTTATCTTGAGAGCTCTGAGAAAGTAGTTCTTTTAGGTAGGAAGCGCTAAATCAGTATTAGTTTAGGGTCTTTTCTCTATTTTTTTCCTTCATCCCCCTCATTAGTCTTGTTTGGTGATGGCAAAATAGATAAAAGAATAATAATAATTTATTTATATTATCCACTAAAAAATAAGTTGGATAATGAACTTTTTTTTTAAGATAGATCAAATATGGATAAGATTCATTTTATTAGCTTAAAATGGATAACTAACGAGTTTAACTTTTACAGTTGCAAAAACTCAAATTGGGGGATCATCCAATTTGGGAGACTATGAATCCTTCTAAAAATTGACTATATTATAGATGTTCATATTATCTGTCAGTTAACACATTTTCTATCCGTATTAATATGGATCGAATCGAATATTTTATCTGCTTTTCGCATTTTTCATTTTCAATCCGTTCGTATCCGACCCGACCTGCCATTTAGCATGTTGTTTTTACAACTTTTGGAAAAGTGACGGCAAGAAATGACGTGTATCTTGGTAACATTCTTGTAGAAGAGGGAGGTTGTGATTAACTCCCTTCTTAATGCTCTTACTTTTTGGTGGTTGCTAACTCAACCAACCACTTAATTATTCCTTTTTTTGTTTTTTTGTTTCTTTTCTTATTTAACTGTCTCTAAGATCTAAGTTGCTCGGACTCTTTAAAAATATTATTGTATATGTGTCGAAACCTCTAAAAATACATTACTTTTGAAGGATTCGACATGCACCCAGCAAGATCTTCAGGGAGTCCGAGCAACATAGTCTAAAACAACCGGCTAAGATGAATGGATTCTCCGTAAATTACATGTAACGAGGCAGGTCCTATGTTTTGAACACACATCACACAAGTAGAAAGTAGAAAATAAAAAGATAAAAAATAAGAAATGAAAAGCTTAAATAGAGAGAAAAGACGACGAAGAAGAAGAATCATGATGGCTTGTAGAATTAGGTTAAGTATGTTTAATTATTGAAACACGATCAAGTAACACTTGGAAATTGTTGATTATAGGCCCCTTTCACTTGATAATCTAACATCCATCATTGAATTGTAATTGCTAACAACATAATTTTGCCGCCAGGCATAATTCATTTCGATTGAACCTTGACCAACTTTTCATAGTTAATTAAGATAAATGTTAAAGTAAATTTTATCAATATTATGTAATTGGAATTAAATAAGATACATTTGCGTATCATATAAATACTTTCCTTTCGGATTAAATTCAATTATACGTATTTGTACAGGGACATCAAACCTAACTTCAACGCTCTATATAATGACCAGTGTCATGCCTCAATAGAAATGATGACAATCATTATTAGGGGAAGGTGAATTTATTGGGTTATACTTAGGTCAAGTCAAACAACATTTAATAATAATTAATTGCCCTTAACGCTATCCAAATCGTAACTGTGTTAATAGACTGGTTCCCACACTATACTATTAAATGTCATTATCTGTTAGTGATCCCCAAAATAAGAACTTGAAAACCTTTAATTGTGCTATTTGACTTTTGTAACTTCTAATATAATAGAAGTATTGTGGATTGATATGACTAAATAAGCATTAGTATATTTCAATCGGAATTAGTTGAAAGGTTGTGTTGAAAGTTTCAGATATATTGGATTGATTCTGCTATTGAAGACATGCAGTCCATTTTCTTCTCAACAATCACATGAAAACAACATATTAACCAAACAATAAATGTAGTTTTGCTTTGAAAGGTCTTCTGCAAACAGTGTAATAGTTTGTCGTGGTGCTCGGCAACACTTCATTGATTTGGTCTCACGCTGGGAAGTATAGATGATTATTTCCTTTTCTCAACCACTTCCATCTAGAACATAGAGAGGTGGGTGTCATTTTAGCCAAAACTAATTCAATGATAGACGTTCTAGAAAGCGGATCCGAGATTTTAACGTGATTTAAAATCAAGAGTTTATATATATTATTGTTGAAAATTTTAGTAGTTTTTCACACACATATATATAGAGAGAGAGAGACTAGATCCACCTCAACTAGACCAGAAATTAGATTTTGAATCCCCGAGCTTCCTCATTATCTTCTATTGTCAACACTGAACATGTCAACCAGCTTTAGAACCAAAGTTCTAAAATTGAAGTGACGTCACGAAATTGGATTTGCATCGACTCAGTTATCACGGTTTTACTCGATTTTAATTTGAAACGAATTGAGGTTGAACACAATATTGCTGCCAACGTAATCATTAATATATCATACTCGGTGCAATAAAGAGAACAATAAAAGGGAGAAGAAAAACTTAACTGAGAGAATCCAGTGTCCTTTTTCAATTTCTTCCCCACACTCAAAATCCAGATTTATATGAACTGAGTTTTTAAGGTTCTAGCAAGAAGCAATAATTGCTCAGCGTGATAGAAAAGGTAGGAGAAAAGATAACAGAAGAACCAATTCTTATTCTATTTTCTCCTTTTATGTAGAAGCCGAAGGAGATAAAAACAGCATAGTTTTTCTTTTTCTTGTATTGCCAAGCAGAACAAAAGTTACGGGTGGGTCAACGGTTAATAAGAATAAGAGCTCGTACTCGTGTATTGAACCCTCCAACATTGTTTCTTACTTCCTTCTTAAAAAAAGCAAGAGCGAGGCAGAAATATTAACATTTTAGCTAGAAAATGTCAATCATGGAAACGAGACTTTTTTTTTTAATTGTTAAGAAGTAATCATGGAAATGAACTTTGAAAGCAAGGACGATAAGAAGTCGAGATCCATAGAACAGATGGACCAGCCATGGTGTAAGGTATACATTGATCAATGACAACCCTCGTTCACCCAGAGCTTCTGTCATGTTTCAAGGTTTTGACAGCCGAACCATATTTGACACTTGACATGTGAGCAAGTTGTCCATATCTGTAACTAAGGCTACCTCTTGGCTTCCTAAGCCATAGAATCCTCGGCCTGTTGGCCACAACGCATGGCATTCACAAGCCTTACTAACAGGGGCCCAGAATCAGTTACTTGTTGCACTCAAAGAGATAAACAAAACAAAAGTATGTCAAATCAAGGAGCTACTTTTAGTCTCCAGTAGAGCTAATCAAGGCGAAAATTCATGTTATTCCAGACTCGAAAGAATTGAGAGATCAATCCACATTGGCTGATTCCACCCCAATGGTCATGCTTCGCTACGTTCTGCCTTTCTTTGCCCAACCCCAAAAATGGGCTGCCTCAACCACAATAAAACAACGGACCACTCAATTTACCCAACACAAACAAAACAAACTGAAACTCAACCCCAACTCTCTTCCAATAAAAATGGAAACACGATTTAAGAGAACAAACACAGAAAAAGCTGAGGGAAAAAGAAAAGATTCTACATAAAACAGACCAATACAGCTGACTCAAACAAATGCAGCAAATATGTCACTGCAGATTTCCTGAAGGACACTTCTTCATACATTAATCAGGGCCCCTAAACAAAGCAATAGGAAATATCATGGACGA